TATATATAGTATAAAATAGATAAAAACTCACGATCACCAGGAGAGTAAAAAAGTTTAAAACTTTAATTTAAAACCAAGCTTTCGCTGGGAGCTCCCAGCATCATCAGGGTTAGCAAGCCAGTCTATGGGTGTGCCTTAAGTAAGGTTGTTTGACATCTGCGCCCGGCTCCTAGAACGCGTGATTGGCCCCAACCAATTATATATATTATATATATAAATTCGCCTCAAAAGGGTTTGAATTGGAAAGAATTATATATGGATCTTTGCAGTTATGCATATTTCACTAACAAAACATTCAGCCGTCAATATTAATTTTACCTGTTTCCTTCCATCTTCCAAAGCAGCTTCCAACTGTCTCGCTAAAGCATCATATTCAACAAGTTTCTGTTTGAAGTGCAGTTCAGTTTTCTGAAGGCTATCTTCTTGATTCACCAACTGATTTTCCAGTTCTTTGTTTTGCAATTCAATTTCTTCTAGCTTTCTTTTAAGTCAAATATGTAGACAGGAGTAAGAATACCATAGAGAAATAGGTATGAATAAGTAGCTTTGAAGAAAAGCAAGTATCACGCTTACCTTTTAACTCCCTCATATTTTAGATGAATGTTGTAATTTTCCTCTTCCAAAGAAAGCTGTTTCAAAAAGTCATCACTATGATTTATCTGTTTAAAAAAGGGGATGCAAATAGTTAGCATATCCAACAAAGCTATATAGAAATGAAGTGCTGTGAAACTAGCTCTGTTCTATCCTTCGCTGCAATATTGGCAGATAAATCCACTGTAAATACAAAGTGCTCTGATTGTACTTTGCAAGAGTAATATACAGTAATCCAAAATTGTGAAAGATCTGAAGAAGCAGTTCGCCTTCTCCGAAGGGAGGATGCATGGAGAATGAGAAGCAATTCTTCCATGCTTCATCTGAAGAGCATCCTTCCACACGTAAGAGGAAGTAGCAAAGAGTTGTTCTCAATGTTTTCCAGTAGAATTGCTTTCCCATCTGCCCTTCAGACAAGAAAGTATGGACATCAGGATCAATTCATTAGATCCTGCTCTGGTTCTTGTCACCTTCTGAATTAAGCTGAACAATGGCAGGAAATGGACCTGTTTTCTATTATTTCAGTAAGTGTTCACCTAAGTCCATTGTTCTTGGGGCTTGGGACTGTTAAGCAGACATCTTTACATTGGCCTTGTTTTAAAACCTAAATATACTATTGTGCTTTTATGATGCCATTTTATTTCACTGCTCTGCTGTGTGATACTCACTCTTCAATGCTTTATATTTACTGTGCCGATTAGTTTTGCGACTGTGAGAGCATTTGCTGGAAAGGGACTTATAAATATACTAAATAAACAAAAAAAAACCTCTTGAATTTTAAAAGTTTTGTGTATTGCTATGCAGCATGCAACTATATATTTGGCAATATGATGTTTGAGTAGTGACCTTATTGAAACAGTTTCAATAAGAGAGAGAAAGATAATTTCAGGAAAAACTGAGATTTTGTTAATCACTGTATGTTGGGACTTTTTTCAGACTGATAGCTGTTGGAAATTAATGGCTGCTGAATTAGGTATCTGGACGGAGGCATTGCTTGCACTGAAAACTCACAGCATAACCCACTTCGCAAGGTTGTTGGGGAGAAATAGGAGGGGAAAGAAGTATTAGATATGACTGCCACCTTGAGTTAGTTGTAAAAAATTATAAAGGTGGGATAAGAAAAAAACAATAAACAACGGCATTATTCTTCCACTTTATTATATGAGCTTTATTATTTCCTATCCCTCATGCCTATCCAAAGAGTTCTTAAAATAGATAGCCATTATTTTGTGTACCTCCATGCCTCCCTCGCCTCCCCGTGACCCTCCTGATCCATGCCAGATACCCATAAATCCTCCAAGACCCATCCCTTCCCAATCCACGTTCCCATCCTTCCCCAATCGCACATTAAAGCCTCATCATTTAGGAAGAGAAATTCCAATTCCAACTGCCATTGTAAGTTGAGGACTACCTGTTTAATACTTTTAAAATGCTTAGCGCAGGAGTAGGCAACCTTG